AACTGGTGTCTATCTGTACAGCCACCTGTTCTATTTTCTTTCCTGCTAGTACTTTTAAATTATCCATTTAAAATGTTGACTAGAATGTATTTTGTAAAGGTTGTTTGCAAACTGTGTTTTTTTTTTTTTAATGAAAAGAGTCACATCATGTGTATTTATTGCTTACAGTTTTTAGCTATCCCTTTTAATTGTCAGAGTTAAAATGTTGAATAGGCTGTAATGATTGTAAGATTTAGTGTAAGTGTAAATATTTTCATCTGTGAAAACAGTCAGATGTGTGGTGGTGGTGACATTGGTGATGGTAAAGTTATTGTAGTGTTCAGCTGCATGCGATATAGGTTTAATTATTTCTTTTCTACTGTACTTGTTAAGTTCCTATGCTTCTTTCATCACTCACTTTCAATGTAAGAAAAATTCTTTAATAAATCTAATGACGTCATAAGTTGTTTTTCATTCATGAGAAATCACCAAAATCTTTATCTTCTCCCTTGCGTGGATCAAGCATTGTAGTTGACCTGACTCGTAAACCTCAAGCTTAATATACTGTTGGAATGCTTGTCTCTATTTGGACATGACCTCTGAAGTAATGTGACATCTGTTTTCACACAACCTAATGCAAACGTTCACATCAGAAGGTGGAACTAAGTTGTGTAACTCATTTTCACCCCACTCTCCTTCAAGAGAGAACTCCGAAATTTAAAAAGAATGATTTGTATTTTCTTATTATATGAGAATGGTAGGAACGGAAGCCTCCATACTTTGCATAGACTTTCACTTTATACGGCTTTCCATTAGTATGTAACAGAAAGCGTCACATAATTAGAGAGAATCGTATGGACCCTATTAACAAACACTGAAATTAAAAAACTTCCTCGGTACTGTACTGGTTTAGGGGCACACATCTCCTTCACAACAGAGGCACTGGTTTTGAAAAAAGGTGGTCATAGCAGATAAGTTTTGCAATGCTTTGAAAGACATTTATACCATATTTATGAAGGTAGGCTTCCCAACACCTTTTGTGATGAAATGAAAGATAAGCATCCAAACAATTTTTCTTCCTACGCATAAGTCTCTTACCAGACTATGGCTGTGGTCTGACACTGAAGACAACTCGACAAATTAGAAAATCATTGCTCTTTATATTTAGCTTGAAATAGTTATTGTTGAACTGTTGTTATTATCTACTGAAATTACATCTTACTAAGAGAGGCTATCTGTGGTACAATTAAATCATTAGTTTAGAAACATTTACTAAGTTGCTGAGAGGTGTCTGATTCTGGTCGATTCCACCTCAACATTATCTCATCTACCAAAGGGGCAGTAGTGTCCTATCATAGGTTTGAGAACAAAATAAACCACCAAACATGACCTCTAGGTCTGCTCCACGTTATGATTTCTTACAATGTTAGTCCTTTAAAATGTACTTGGTCGTGTCTCGAATGTGACAGTAGTTGGGATACAACTGTTGACGTTGAAGACAACAATTCAGAGAAACCTTCCATTTGTAAGTAAATGTTTTATTTATGATATCATTAATTACAAATCATTTTGCGCTTTCTCTTTTGGCACTAAACTGCTTTCTTTTTTACCTTCCTACGAGTCTTATTTACAATTTTAACAGCAATTATAAAACGAATTAAATAAATAAAACTATTTTTAACAATTATTATTCCTGTTCATAATGAATATCTGGAAAAGTAAAGAGAAACGATATTTAGACAACATAGAATATGAAAAAGCATTAGCTATAAAACGTTCATATTTAGGTAGATGAAAGATAACACCAGAAAACATGTTTATTCAAAATGAGAAATAAGATACAACAAAAGGTGGACGAACACCTGATCATTTGTACTCACCCTACAACTTTAGTCGCACCCTGGCCCTATCCCTTAGATGAGGCGAGGAGTAATACAGCTTCTCTGGGGTGTGCTGTGATGGGATTAGCCACTTTTCGAACACGTTGGTGTCATCCGGATGGTAGTACAGGACTTCTCCCTCAGAACGCCGCAGCCAATGTGTGACCTGCCCCATCCACCCCGTGATGCCCTTCTTCTTGGCCAGTGCTTTGGCAACGTCATCCTGGTCCTGTATAGACATGAGAGCACATATATTCGTTAAAAGTATGTGTAGCGCACCTTGCGTTTGAGCCACTTGCTTATGAATTTCGGGTCCTCAGTCTTAGGGTGGGTGCTGCTTAGGGCCAAAGTCACGCATGTATGGAACATGTCCTTCACCTCCTCACGATCACCTGTGCAAGAAAAAACATACAAGTTAGTACAGCAAACGGTAAACAAAGTGGGCAGCAGGCGAGGGACGACGCCAACGATAACTTACACGCGAAGTACATCACACGGCACAACGTCCGAGCAGTCGTACCCCCGGGGTGCCCAGGGGACGCCAACAGATGGACGTCCTCGACCCCTAAATCTACAAGAACATCAAGAAAATCCCCAACAGGATCCTGGAGTAAGGGATGCCCCTTGAAATCCATCATACTTTGACAGTCCTCAACTTCACGGTCGACAATGGCACGACGCGGCACAACATAATACTCCTCGGCACGCATACAGCAGCACAGGAACCACGGCTCGTAAAACATGTTGATGCACTAGCACACGGCGTAAAGGTAGAGGTCTGCACTCGACAACTTCCTTGCACAAACTGGTAAAGTCCACAAGCCGCGAGAGCATACGGGAATGCCCGGCAGTGGCGAAGGGCGAAGGGTAAAACCGAAGTGGGGTGGGGAGGAGGGGGGGGGCG